GAGAGAGAGAGAGAGAGAGAGAGAGAGAGAGAGAGAGAGAGAGAGAGAGAGAGAGAGAGAGAGAGGGAGGGAGAGAGAGAGAGAGAGCAGGTCGGTCTCCAACATAGCGGCTGGCCTCCTGGTACTTCCATCGATCGGCTGAGCAAAATCGAATGAATCTACCGCTGGAACATGGAAATATACACTGCCACATTTGTTTGTGTGTGTGTGTTTATTTTGCGTACCAAGCCTCCACGACCGTGTCGCGGCATGTTGCGTCAAAAACTCATGCGAGGAGACCGACCCCAATCAAGCGATTCCTGGATTACCCTACGAAAAAATCACCATGCTCACCCATGATCGTAGCAGAAGAGAATGGTATACGTATGCTCCACCTGGAACACAGGTGTGTGAAGTAGCCTTACTCATAGAGCGTAACACCCAGTGACATTTCGAAAAAAAACACACAACAATACGTAATTCCTTAGGAAAGCCAGAGATCCCACTTATTGTCATACGCATGTGGAAGACAGGAACAAAAGAAAAAAGAAAAAAAGAAAAAAAGGGGGGGGGGGGGGGGGGGAGGATATGAACACAAAAGCCAAGCACAAAAGCATCATAGAAGGAGGGGTGGTACAAATTATTGATGATACAAGCCATTTAGACAAAGTCGAACGAACAGTCGAGGCATCATTTATTCAAAGAGTACTCTCATAACCCAGCCGAAAGGCCGCTCGAAAAGGTTAAAGGAACAACCATAGCGTCCCCGACCTCGCTACGCTAACTTCAAGCCTAACCCTCCGAATTTCCACGAGACGGTAAGTGGGGGAGAAGAGGAGAACCCAACATGAACAAGCCCCCCTATGACAATCCATCCACTTATAAATGTGACCGTCGCGATGATGTTCGATGCAAACAAAGCAATTGCCCAGTGAAGAACGACAATATCGGGAGGGGCGGGACAAGCCAACTGTGGGTTCATAATCAAGAGAGTGACAGCATTCAAGATCCTCCATGAGAAGACAAGGGATGCTACAACTGGGCCGAAACAGCACAACCACACAGTACACATAATTGCACGGGGTCGAAAACGACCAAACGACGGACCACGGGCAAACCCTGCTCCCCTCGAAGCTCCCACCAAAATTCCACACAATCCCAGAGCGCAGCCATCACTATAACAAGCGTCGAAGTGCCCTCCTCTCAGAATGGAACGGAATGCCAGCAGCCAATCCCCCTTACACCAGCCCCTCCTCGCGAGTAATACCGTTGTTCAGAAGAGATACATAACATCCCGAAGCGCAGCACCCACTAACAAACTCCCAGTGCTGAAAAGCACTCCTCCCCCCAATGGAGGAACCCGATCCCGAATGAGGCTGCTATCAGATCCTTCCCCGCTCTCCAACACACACTGCCTTCCACCACCCTCGTACCCCATACAACCATAGAGTCTCTAAATGGCATCGCCACTATGCCTTGCAGACGCGCGGGTGGGCACAAGGAGAAGACGAATTCAAAAGCAGGCTCCTGCTGATGCAGACCAGCGCCTCACAGCTGTCCAGGAAAGCTAAGAAGGACAAAAAAGCGAAGAGGGCAATCAGGGTGACAACGATGCAGTATGCCACGCCCAGCTCGTCCATGGCGAAGAGATTCAGACATCAAACCTGCAAAACCGCATCAACCCATTCCTTTGGCAGCATCCACCAAAACGAAGCCCGCATCCCATACATACACAACGCTCGGCCATCACAAACAAAAATAACAATAACAATAAACAGCCAAAAACGTTCGTTAAAAAACACACACAGGTCACACCAGGCGGGGGGAAGGGGGTGGGGAAGCATAGAGAACAAGAGGTGAGTATCCCAATTCGGCCAAGCGGCCCTATTATGCCGGCGCATGGAAGAAGGGTGGTGGACCGAACCCTGAAGTACTTTTCGCCTGCTTCCACCAATCCGGCTCATCAGAGAGTAAGAAACATCCTTCATAGCGCTCCGAAAGGGAACTCAGAGGAAACATCCTCAAGAGGACAGAGAACCAAGACGAGGGGGA